CACCGTAACTTTGACCTTTTTTATAATGACCTCAGATTTAACAAGAGCTGTCGGTAGGACAGCACGCTCGACTATTGTAAGTGCTTGATAGTAAAAGAGCCTTTATAATGTTAAATTTTTTAAGTTCACAAAAGAGCTAATTTTTTTCATAAATTCATGTTATAGGCCTTAGAGAGAGTCTAATTATACAGTATTGGCTTGACTATTCGGAAGGTAATGTCACAAGGGTGTTTAATTGAGTAAAATAATACTAATTACCTATGAATACATTAATTTGACAGAAAAGGTACAAAGGCTTGTTATTAAGATGTTTTATCAAGTTAATCACTGCTTTATTATTATGAATGCATAAAATTGTCCCAAAAAAGGTACAAACCCTTCAGTAGTTATTGAGATAACAGCTTACAAGCAAAACTTTACCATGAATTTTTAAGTTGAAAAAGGGGAGAAAAATCAGCCTAAATGCAAGATAGAATTATGGATCATTGTCAGTGACCTACAATTATGACCCTAAATGCATATGTGAAGTTTAAAATAAATATCTTTAATAGTTATTGAGATATGTAAAACTATCATGTTAACATTAACCAAGAGACTAAGTAGAAAAGGGGATATGAATCAGCCTTAATGCAAGATAGAGTTATGGAACTTGGTCAGTGACATACAATTATGACCCTCCAATTATGACCCTAAGTGCATGTGTAAAGTTTCAAGTAAATATCTTTGAAGACCTTTAACCTTTAATCAAAATTTCTAAGTTTCAAAGGGGCAAATAATTCTGCAAATATTGCAGGCAGAGTTATGCAATTTTGCAAACTGATATACATTGTTACTATAAAAGAGTATTTAAAATTTCAATTGAATATCTCAAGCAATAATTAAGATATTTGACTTTACAAAAAAAACTTTAACCAAAATTTCGAAGTTCCAAAGGGGTATAATTCTGTCAATATTGTAGGCAGAGTTATCCAACTTGTCAATCTGATGTACCTTGTTACTATAAATAAGTATTGTAAGTTTCAATTGAATATCTCAAGCAATAACTGAGATATTTGACTTTACAAAAAAAACTTTAACCAAAATTTCTAAGTTCCAAAGGGGTATAATTCTGTCAATATTGTAGGCAGAGTTATCCAACTTGTCAATCTGATGTACCTTGTTACTATAAATAAGTATTGTAAGTTTCAATTGAATGTCTCAAGCAATAATTGAGATATTTGACTTTACAAAAAACTTTAACCAAAATTTCTAAGTTAAAAAGGGGCATAATTCTGTCAATATTGTAGGCAGAGTTATCCAACTTGTCAATCTGATGTACATTGTTATTATAAATAAGTATTGTAAGTTTCAATTGAATATCTCAAGCAATAATTGAGATATTTGACTTTACAAAAAACTTTAACCAAAATTTCTAAGTTAAAAAGGGGCATAATTCTGTCAATATTGTAGGCAGAGTTATCCAACTTGTCAGTCTGATGTACCTTGTTACTATAAATAAGTATTGTAAGTTTCAATTGAATATCTCAAGCAGTAATTGAGATATTTGACTTTACAAAAAACTTTAACCAACGCAGACGCCGACGCGGACGCTGACGCCGACGCCGACGCCGGGGCGACTAGAATAGCTCTCATATTCTTCGAATAGTCGAGCTAAAAAGGGTCATCTACTGGTCAAACAATGTCTGCAGGGTTTCGTAAACCTAGATTTGTTTTTGTTCTCTCTCAGTAATTGATTGGGCAAATATCTTAATTAAAGTGTTGCTGTGACCTTGACCTTTATGACGCCTTTATGATTTCAAAATCAACTTTGGTCATCTAGTGGGCCATGGTTTTTAAAGTTTCACAAACTGAGACTTACTTCTTCTGAAGTTTTTGTTTTGATCAGACAAGGATTTTACACTGTCACTCTGACCTTGACCTTATTAGCTCAAAATCACTAGAGAGTTATCTATTAGCCATGACCTCCCTTCAAAGTATGACAATTTATTGAGCACATGCCAATGAGGCTAACAGACAGACTGACGAGCAGGTAAGTGCCATACCATACTTTTTAGGTGTACAAATATTATAAAGCTTCTGATTACACTACACACAGTTGACAATATACATGAAACACCTTATGTTAAAAAAATGCTCTCATTCTATAGTCACCCTTAACATAACAAACATTTGACAGGCATTCAAGACAAAAAGTTGTTAAATAAAATGTATGATCTTAAAAATGATTAATAGAGTATGTTGAACCTGACCTGCCTTCTCAGATTAAACTTTCCTTACTGTTAACCTTACTTTAAACTTAAATATAACAACTTATTATTGTTTACTGTATAATTATATACTATTTGAAAATTCAATAAGGTATGTTCATCAGTTATTTATATAAAATTAATAGCTGTTACATCTGAGACAAAAAAAGAATTTAAATATTTTTTACAAAAAATAACAACAATTAAAATGAACAACAACAACAACAAAAATAACTATGAGTGACACTATAAGTACATACAATGCAAATATACTATATTTGTCAGTGTTATTTATATCCTTGTAACAGTAAATATATTGACAAAGTTTTAGAAGTTTTATTGCGTAGCTAACACAAGTCACTCTTTTCACAGTCAAGAAGTTATACAATTTTAGAGGAAACATTATTTATTTCAGTCAATGATTTTTCATCACAGCCATGCAAGAAAGCTTCCTCAAAGTATTATAATTCATAGCAGGAGATTTACATTCAATTTTTAATGAAACCAAACTAAAGTACATTGAAATTCATTGCTATTGTGTTTGAATGAAATTGGCTCAAGTTATAAAATTAAGATAAATTATTGAGTAGCAGCCTAACTTACATTAAGAGACCACCTGGCAAATGCTTAAAAAGATTTTGAATAATAACTGTACCTTGATTTAATTCAAAACTTACATTATTTCCTTTTACATCATATTTCAAATAAATTTGATCATAAAGCAATAACTATACAATTAAGTAAATGACATCAAGTCTCAAAATTTGGTACATTCTTTTCTATCACATTCATACCAATCATAATAAATGCCAGAATAAATGCATAGGGTGTTCAAATTGCACAGTATGTAAATTTACATAAAACATTCATGCAAAAAATTTATATGTCATTCCACTAAACTCACCTTCTATTGAAAGACCCAAAACTTGCAAAATAACAATAATCCCAGCAAATAATTAATTTAGGGAGCTCAAAACTTATGGTATTGACTCCATAAAATGCCTTAATATACTTAAAATTGAACTTATTCATATATCATGATCTACATAAAAAATCATTGCAAATATTACAAACGTGAAAAATGAAAATGACTGAATATATGTTCACTTAATTTGTTTAACAATAATACAAAATAATGTTTGCAAAATTCAAAAGATTTAAAATGTGCTCACAATATTACCATGTCACTGTGCACAATATTACAGTGAGTCACAATGGTACATTTACAATTAAACTGATTAATTTCTGTTGATGACCTATGGAGTCAATACTCTGTCGAATCTGAAAGGTCTCTGTTGGAATCCAAAAGGTTCAAGTTACAAAAAATACTCAAAACCTCCGTCAAAGTCATGGATCATACAATTTGATCTTTGTGCTTTAAAAAAAGAGCATACATAAGTTTAACAAAACTTTTCATAATAAAAATCTTACAAAAAATCATATCATAACAGAAGAAAACTTAAGAAAGATCTTCTTCTCACAAAACTTTCTATGAAAAATCTTAAAGTGAATTGTTCCAAAATGGAAGTTATGTCATCTAATTAATACTCATGTTGTTGTATTTAGTTCTGTACCTGACAACAAACCATGAAACAATTATATATTGATGCAGTTGGTAAGTGTGAGATTATACAATTTAATATCACATATTTATATAGATCTACATAGTTGTAACAGCAGATAGTAAATTGGTATAGAAAAATATCAATTATCCTATAAATGTTTATATTTAATCACTTAGAACACTTAGAACATTTTTATTTCAAGATTCTTATTTCATAAGGATATCCAAATAACAAATTTCTATAGTTTTTTATCAATATCTAAAATACTTAAGCAATGTGTCCATTGTAAAACCGACCAATTAGCAAAAAACTATTGACTGAGTTCAACATGATAAACCAATAACAATAAAATTCATCAACTTTGTTCATAAAACAAAAATGTGTGTACATTTAAAAACATACCATAAAATATCCTTTAGGTCTTGCATAATGTGGCACTTGCAAAAATGGCACAACATTTTAACTACAGTACAAAATAATCAATGTAATATCTTAAACAATAGAAAAAACTCTGATCTTCCATAAATGTTTAAACATCTCTTTTTTAGCATTTTAAGTTATAGATTCATAAATTTAAAGCTATTTATTCATGATCAAGAGATAAGTTATTTCCCAACACTGGATAAAAAATGTGTTACAATGTAAGTGAATATTAATACAAAATATGACTTATATACATGTACATTGCATATATGATTTTCATACATTATCTGATAGCTGTTGTTATAACAAATTTTACTATATAATCTATAAATAGCTTTGAAATGCCTTTCCCTGATTGGCTAACAAGCAACTTTTTGTAAAAAATAACAGGTCAATATCAGAGTATATTCACTGTTCTTTTCCTAAAAATAGATTTTCAGAGTATATTCACCGGTTTTTCTTCTAAAAATAGATTTTCTGGAAATCCCTTAAAGACGAGAAATAGGGATTAGCATGCCAATGGAAAGGGCCAAATTATGGAAACAGTAGACAAGCTGAAAAATAATGATTTCCGTCGTATGCAATGGCAGATGTGATAAGCCATATAAAAGCTATTTATAAATTATATAATAAAACAGATATGTACTTTTTAGCTATCGCCTCGGTCAATATTAACTTTTTTGTACATATCACATCATATTCAACACCTAAAAGTCCATATTTGTATAATATTTATTTAATTTCAATTAAAGGAAAGTAACTTTTTAAAATTGTAATTACACCTCCATCTCAACCAACACTGTTTATAATATTCAACTTTCCAATACCTTAAGATGGCATAGAATAAATATACACACCAATACAAAGATAAATGAAATATACTTTTATATTTTAAAAAGTGTTCCAAAAACTTGTGAAATATTTGAATGTAAAATAAAAAAAATCCAAATCAAACGCTACCAATGCATATCATTATTATTAGTACAAGACTGGACTAGATATTCATTAAATTTATTTTTTTACCAGCTGGCTGCAACATAATCTTATACTACCAGTGTAAACCAAGATAAGCCAGCAAATGCATGCCATTTACTCATGGTCTGCACTTTTTTCACCATTCAGTTAAAAAATATTTTAAAATTTTCCCTATGAGGGATAAATGGTTCTGTCCAGATTGATATATGGACAAGTCCATTTATAATACTGAGTATGGCAAGGGTGAGTATGATCAATGTTATTGTATAAATATATTAAATTTTAGGTTCAACAAAAGCTATGGTAGCACTTAACAAACCTCAGTGCTTGATAGTGTTTAAGCCTGGATAATGTTGGATTTTTCTAAGATCAAAAAGAGCCATAATTTTGTCAAAATCTAGGTTAGAGCTATGGACCTTGTACCTTGACCTCATATTATGCTCTCGCATAACTATGTGATGTTTCATTCCATTTCCTTTAAAATAGTTATAGAGATACTAACTTGCAAGTAACGTGAATTAACGTAAAATATAAATTATTATAAAATATAACACTACATGTATTTTGATTTTCATAAAAATTTCTACACAAAACTAGGAGATCATTCTCAGACTATACAGTTGCTTGAATCCAAACATGACATTATCTATTTAATGACAGTATATAAACAAGTCTACTTTCTGTAATTGCAAGAAAGGTTCAAGTGAAAATATATAGTCCTCCAAGAAAGGTACAGCAGTCGGAAGTAACACCTGTTTGTAATCATAGGTAGAGTACACATTGAATTGTATAGTCTTGCAAGACAGGATACAGTGATTTTATTTATATACTATGTTAATTAAATAAAGATATATTATGTTAATTAAATAAAGAAGTAATTAACAATGACATATGCAGCACATTTAAGTACAATTTAAGTACATTATTTTGACATATTGCCATAAAATGTTAAGTCATGTACTACAATCCTAAATGCAGTACATTATGTATTTATAAATACATGTATAGTTTCTTTGAGCATGCTAAATTCAAAAGTAAATAGATTAATTATTATATTATATAGTTTAATGACCAGATGTCTCTATTTTTTATACTATCAACCTAGTAATATAAGATATATATAAATGATATACCATTTCAAAGTCTAAGTTACTTTGTCAAGTATGACACTAACTTTGATAAACAGTATGGCAGTGAAAACAGTTTTACTTTATCATAATGTATCATTCAGCTGCCTCATCAAGGAAGGAAATATTTTGGTGTACTCATATGAAATCTGTGACCTGAGAAATAGCCGTGTCCATGGTGTAGTGTTCCAAACCTGTAAAACAATGAAAATAAAGACCTAGTAATATATATTTTCTAAATACAAAAATGTACAAGCCAAGCAACTTAGCAATTTAAAACTGTGTGAAACCTCTTTATACTTTCAAACTATGCATAGTTATCAATCTCAAACATTACCTTTTCTTTTTTATTTCCTTTTTACTGGTTAGATTTTTTCATTTACAAAGGGTTCAAACCCTGTCAAAGACTAGCCATTGTTTCCTTGAGCAAAAACATTTACAACACTCATTGCTTAGTAATAGTTGATTCCAGGCACAGACTTGTGTGTGTTAATAAGCTTATATTTTCCTTCATAATTATATTAAAATAAATTCTGTATAATTACACTGATACTGTTAAGGTCAAAATATGATTTTACCAGCTTTACTAGCATACAAACAACTAGAATCATTATATACCACTGCATATAATATTGACAGGTATGGAAATTATGAATGCAGGATAAAACTTTAAGTAATATGTGAAAAGGTAAACAAATGTGTAGGACCTTTTTTTACTGGGTTTTTACATTGCACCAACACAGTATAGGTCATATTGCAACTTCCTAGCTTTACTGGTGGAGGAAGCCCTCTTCGCATTATTTCAAGCACAAACATTATACCCGAGTAGAACCAGACATTGCTTGGCTAGAACGTAAAACGGTGAGAAGCAAGTGGTTTCAAGTCAACAACCTTAACCACTTGGCCATGGACGCTGCCATCATTACCTTCAAATCTTTTTAATGTATCACAATTAGAAAATATTAACATAATTCCTTCTTTATATTAAAATTATAATAATATATGGCAGAACGGCAATTCAGTGTTTACATTCTGTTACTCCAGAAATCAAACAAAACAACAATGTACATACTTGTCATTAAATTTAACATTATCTGGAATGATATGTTCTCCTGTATCATAAGTTACTTTACTGTTGTCCTTGAAATCATTGATGTCATCAGGAATCTCAAATCTGGCCATCTGTAACTCTGTGTCACTCAATCCACCATGAGTTATTCTTGCATACCCTTGTCTAAAAAATATCAAAATTATAAGTTACCATTCACCTGCTGAATTTCTTAAAAGCACATTATGCCTCAGAAATACATACTTTTACAATTCTCTTGAAATGTAAAGCTTGGTTTAATCATGTTTTAATAATGAATTTAAGAGCATAATAGATGTCTAACAACTCAAGAAAGTAGCAATGACCTGCAGTAATGTGTTATAAAGGTAGCAAAATGTCAACAAAATAGTATTTTGACTTCCATACAAAATACTAATACACTATAATTATACCAATTGTCAACAGAGCAAAAAAGGCAACAGATAGTCAACTATGTGGCAAATGAGTTAATGTTTGGAAACTGGAATACATGTAATATACAAAAAATAAAAAGTTTCTGAGTGAAAAAAATGATAGCAATTCTAAGGCATCATGAGCCTTTAAATGGATATCCCAAACTTTCATTTTTTAAACAGTCTGATATAAATTTTGGGAATATTTGGGAGTACTTTTCTAACTAAATTATTCATTTTTTCCCCATATTTTAGTGTCTGAAATTTGATGACTAATCAATCAAGGTATAAGGCAAAATATGAAGGTGATCAAGATAAGTAAATTTATTCAATAAGATTGCATTTTCCAAATTATGCATTGTTTAATTCAATGCATTTTCCACTTCTAGAGTACTAAAGACTTATTAGAAGTAAATTCTGACAAAATTATTTAAAACGGACCTACCTTTTTAACCCTCTGTACATGATATATTCACAGAATCGTTTTCTATCAGTATCATCGATATCCTTCAAGTTTCCTTCATTGAGTAGTTCTACATATTCCTTACTACCAGGCTTCGATGTTACATATCCCATAAACACTACAGAGTTCTCACTATTCTTGGTCTCGCGTGCTAGGAACTCAGCCTGTAGTTTTCTGTCAAGTTTATCCCTATCATTACCCATGTGTGTGACCACAAAATCTACCAGACTACCAGAAACGTTCACTGTAGCTGTTACAGCAGGGGCTAACTCACCTGATATAATCAAAATACTTTATCATATGCTATATCCTACATGTATGCAGAAAATAAAGTTCTAGGTCAAAAGATTTTAGCAATGATACATCGTGCAACATCTGGTTTTTTTATATCTCTTGAAAAATTAGAGTATACTTTCCAAAGTATGATTATATTTATAAAGGAAACAGATAGAATCTGCATACAAAGTAACATATTATTTTACAATCAAAATGTTATGCATTAATTCAATTGACTCAATAATGAACTTATAGGATTTTCTTTGTATAAGGAAGTACAGAAATAACTCTGAAAACCTGTACCCTTGAAATAGGACAATTTTAAAAGTCTGTCATACATCAAGAAGTTTTAAGATTGACTATATCCAATAATTTTCATATGAAAGTTCACAAAGGGCCATAATTCAGTCAAAGTTTAAGTAATGAGCCTTGAACACTGACCTCCAATTGTGATCCCTACCACATGTATTCAGTTTCAAGTAAATATTTTTGGTAATTTTGAGATTAGGTGTTACAACACAGACAGTTGACAAACGGCCATAATTATGCCAAAATCTAGGCTTGAGGTATGACCCTCAGATAGTATTTTTAACTAAGACATATATGAAGTTAGCACACATGTTTACTAGTTGATAGATCTGAAGTTATACAAGAAGTTCCACATGAAACTTGTAAAAAGAAAGTGACGATCTGGCACCTGATTGAGGAGATTGCCCCATATATGTTTGCATAGTCAAGCTAAATATAAATCTGAAACATAAAAATGGTAATACATGTAGATTACTCACCATGGGGAGAAGGCAGAAGGTGATAAGTTGATTTCACAAACGGATACTTAGACAGAATCAAGTTTCTGCAATGTCAACAGATTTTTTTTTAATAAAGTAACTTTGAAGTGTGCAAAGCAACAAAATCTTGGCTTTTAAATCAAAGTGATCTTATAAGAGAATATTATATAAAGCTGAATTAAAGCAAAAACATAAAACATTACATTTATTATAGCTAATGTTAGATGATAATGATCAAATGATCAAATAAAGGTTTAAAATTTCAATAAAAAACCTGAATTAAGTTAAAAAACCTCACCCCCATGTATGATCCTTGGTGGATGGTCCAAAGTCAACATAGAAACCTAATTTTTCACTAAGCCATTGACCAAGATCATTGTTGCCTAGAAACGGTTTGGATGCATCACTCTCTAACATTGTAATAACATCTGCACCTGTAAACAAACAAAAGCAATCTACTGTACAAGCACACATTCTATATGTAAAACTTTCTTTTCAATATAGAATATAAGCAAAATCATAAGCTAAATGCATTGCTGAGACTTTATGAAATCTTGATGAATGTTCTTCTAAGAGTATGAATTTAAGATTTAAAGTTTATCTAATGTTTATAAATTTGTCTTGATACAAGTTATATTAAATATAATCAGCAATCAGTGAGAACCGATAAATCAGATATCTGGAACAAAGAATATCACAGTGGAGGAACAAAATCACTGTACAATGTCTTGTAAGCCTATACAATTCAGAATGTTCCATGTTTTTTTTAGTTTTTATTTCAAACACCTGGTTTTTCCATTCACTGTACCTTCCTTTGGAGCCTACATATAAGGGGACAAGGGACATATTTGAATGATGGCCCCGGTCAAATTTTTTAATAACTCAGACATGGTGTTTTGAAGGTACTGATAACTTCTGATATTTCTCTGTCATTGTAATTCTTTCTTGTTTGTGTGTAGGAAATGAGAAGTATTTTTGGGTTTTTACCCGAAACTAAGCATTTTGGTAGCTTTATATGTATTTCTGACTCTCCGAATGGAGGTGAAAAAGTTAACAAGAGCTGTCACAGGAGACAGCGAAGCTGGACTAATAAAATACTGGACGCAGTAAGGAGGACAAAACTATGAAAGAAAAATCAATTATGTATAATTATGTATTAAGTTATAGTAAAAAAACATCTGTTAACATAAATTCCAAGATCAAGGGGAATAATTCTAGAAATAGTCACACTAGAGTTATGAACCTTGTCACACAACATGTGTGTAATGATAAGAAATATATATTTGAAGTTTGAAGTAGATAACTTAAAAAGTAAAGAAGTTATAATATTTCTTAAAGAAAATCCTAAGTTCAAAGTAAGATATATCTGTAAATATTGCTTCAAGAGTTATGAACATTGTCACATAAAATGTAATTGATGATAAGGAATAAGTATTTGAAGTTTGAGGTATATACCTTTAAATTTAAAAAGTTATAGTAAAAAATAATATTTTTTAAAGGAAAATTCTAAGTTCAAGGGGAGATAAATCTGAAAATATTGGTGCTAGAGTTATGAACCTTGTCACATAAGATGGGGATGATGATAACGTACATATATTTGAAGTATGAGGTTGATCCCTTAACAAATAAAGAAGTAACAGTAAAAAAAAGTATTTTTTGAAGAAAATTCTAAGTTCAAAGGGAGATAAATCTGAAAATATTGGTGCTAGAGTTATGAACCTTGTCACATAAGATGGGGATGATGATAAGGTACATATATTTGAAGTATGAGGTTGATCCCTTAACAAATAAAGAAGTAACAGTAAAAAATAGTATTTTTTGAGGAAAATTCTAAGTTCAAGGGGAGATAAATCTGAAAATATTGGTGCTAGAGTTATGAACCTTATCACATAAGATGGGGATGATGATAAGGTACATATATTTGAAGTATGAGGTTAATCCCTTAACAAATAAAGAAGTAACAGTAAAAAATAGTATTTTTTGAGGAAAATTCTAAGTTCAAGGGGAGATAAATCTGAAAATATTGGTGCTAGAGTTATGAACTTTGTCACATAAGATGTGGTTGATGATAAAGAACATATATTTGAAGTTTGAAGTTGATACCTTAAGAAATGACAAAGTTATAGTGAAAAATATTTTACTGCACCAAAACTTTAATCTGAAATCTGGACGCCGACGCCGGGGCGAGTAGGACAGCTCTCCATATACTTCGTATAGTCGAGCTAAAAATCAAGCTTTGACAGTTGGCGCCAAACAAGTAAGAAATTTCAGATAAATTTTGTGAAAAATCTAAACGTATGACAGACACTTTATTGGTCATTTCTGAAAATGCCATAGCTTGCACTGCGTGTTACTGATATTTTTAAAGAAATCGGGCGGATTCTGGAGTATGCTGCACCTTCATGAAGATTGCCCATATTGGTATATTTTAGGTGTGATTTTGGCTTGGTGGGGGTTAATTTAAATTGCTGTCAGTCATTTTTTGAAGGAGCAATGTATGCAAACTATTATTTTCTTCAATGTATGTCATATATCATTGAATAATGCTGTGCAACTGGTTATCTGCCTGTGAAACAGATTTTGAAATATTTGGAATTGTGTTTCTGGTCACACTGAAATACAAAATTGTTCATTTTTAGGTCCCCTGCCCCCTAATAAGTATTTGTCTTGCCAAACAGGAAGTATGCTCGTTTATCCACTGTGTATATGTAAACATTCTCCTTTATCAGAACCAGAAATGTATATAAAACATAACTTGTATATTATATTTACCAGTATCATCCAGCAATGAAGCTGTTCTCTCTAGACTAGGCCAACCTTTATTATCATAACCAAAATGGTATGTCCATATAGCTGTGGTGATCTGTTTAGGTGACTTCTGAAAACAAAATATCAAATGTTTACATTCCTGTGTGTCATTGCTGGTTTAATTTGTTAACTCTCACAAGCAGAAATGTGGACATGCATGATTATTTGTATTTATATATAAATATGATAATTTAGATAAATAGATGTTTTCACATTAAAAAGGCGATTCCATACATGTGAACTTTTTAGATGATCAAGTGGGAGATTTTCTACAAAAAGAGGGAGATTTTAGAATTTGCAATAAACAAAGAAGAAAGTCCTAACATCAAAAAGAGGGAGATTTCTTTAATTTGTGAAAATATGCCTTATTTTAAGAAAAATCTTTGAAAATATGGCTGCAGAAAGTGAGAGTCTCCCACTAAAAGTGGGTGAGTTTACATGTATGCAATTCATTATGAACAGAAAACAACTGTTTTCCTTTGTATTGGATAAAACATTCAGATGAATTTAAACAAACATGATACACAGTGCCTCTACAACATCTGCGTTGGGCAAAATACAAAACAAAAGACAGTCCAGGTTTTATTTTCTGCCATAACTTTTTTTAATACATGTATTTCATTAATTTTTATTTCATAAAGTGTAGAGCCTGTTCATTCTCATATAATTGTCAAATCAAAAAGAATAAAGGTGGAAAATGAAATTTGCTGATGCTAAAATTAGAGCTGTCATTGATTCATAGCAAAGCATATTGACGATACATCAATATTGGATGACAAATATCAGTGATACACCCATATACCGATATATCGGTGTATACTCCTTATTTCTTGTATATAATTCACTTTCATCCCTAGTAAAATATATGTTCTGTTCATACAAATATGTTGTGTCCTGTTAATAAATGTCCTTTGTAGGACTTTTTCCTAACCAATTTTAGTTATCACTGCTATGAAATGTGTCAATTATGTAACAAAAGTTTGGTAGTAGACAAGGCCACCCGCTTTTGTAAATGTTTTGATCGAATTTTCATAATTCATAGACATTAAAATAATTAACCAAAGTTATCGATTTTTACAAATGTGTATTGATTATTGATCGGCAGAAAAATATCAACGATACATCGATATAGTCTCTATCAATGGCACTTCTAGCTAAAATACATAAACAATAAGGAAACTCTCGATACCTCTTATCTACTGGTCTGTGCTCTATATCAGTATTAGTTATTCAAATGATTTGTTTCCTGATCTCCTATTTTTAGAAACAAATGTCACTGACACATTATAAACAGCTCAGGTAACGCTGTTTTGAACTAGGCTTAACCGTGATATAATGCACTTTTCAGAAATAAAATTACTGAAATACATGTACTTAGTTTAAAACAACATAGAATTGTTTTTCCAGCTGAAGGCTTCTTTAACCAATATAATAACATTACCATACCATGAAAGTAAATGTTGTATACAAGATAGACATACCTTGACAGGATGATCAAACCTCTGTGGGTTATATCTATATCCAAATCCTAGTAGACCCACACACAGTAGTAAAATCAACCCTGTAAAACATAGTAAATCTGTAAGTCCCTTAGTGTTACAGCAATTGTTCAGTAAACCAAAGACTTCAGAATACAGGTATGTATCTCCACTTATTATCTCCACTACATGTATCTCCACTAACTCAGTTACACTGCCACTAAAATATTTCCCACCTTATTTGTCCATAATATAGTAACCTTACAAATACAATCAAAGTAAAGTATCAATTCATATAGAAGTGCCTGTATAATACAGATTATATGCCATGGGTAAAAGTTCGAAATTTTAATTAAAAATCATCAATACTATTTTTCGAAAAGAAGTTAGTTTGTATATGTAGATTGTATCATGTATATATTTTTTTAAAATCTTATATTCTACTACATGTATTCAACAATTCAGAATATTGCTTCTATCTTTTGACTTAATATTTCTGAAAAATAAGCAAAGAAGGAAACACACCTTTATTAAAGCTAGATGGAGGTGTTTTCTTTTTATGTAAATTGACAAATGCAGTGTAGCCATCATCTTTTGTTGAACCACCTGAAAATAATCATAACTTACAATATTAGTATATACATTGTATATTTCAACCAGAAAACAACTAGAATCTTACAATGTATAAATGTTGTTATTTAAGTGGAGTTACATTGAACTTAGTTCCTAGGTGCCACAATAACGTAATATATTTATTGACTCGCTATTGATCAGCTAGTATTAGCTGATAAGCCCCGCCTAAATTCACCTAGCATCACCTCTCTGTATCATTAGTAAATATATTTAGAAACCAGATGGCTGTGTTGTTTAATCTCACTACCCATACTTGTCCAGTAACTATGCTATAGCAGACATTACAAAATCATATGTAAATAAAACTTATTTCATTTTGAAACAAGCAGGGCCATCCTTAAAAAAATGTTTGTTTGCAGTAACCCGACCCAGAATATTCAAGGTGGGTAGGTAGGTCGATTTTTTTTTTTTTTTTTTTTTTTTTTATTGAACTGTACTCCCAAATAAACATGGAATTTCATGATGCTGGACAATTTATGCTTTGATAATCTGGTAACAATTATTAAATTGATAAATGAATTCTAATTAAATAATACCTACATTTTATTTCTTCTATTAACCTTTAAAAGAACAAAAACAAAGCACAAGGCATAATTTTCTGATCCAAAAAAAAATATTTTTTTATCCAGACCATGAAAAAAACTTTTGAGTAGGGGCAAATTTTGTTAGTCGGTCGCTTTACTGCAAACAAACATTTTTTTAAGGATGGCCCAGGATACCACTTCACTTGTGTGTAGGCAACAGTGTTCAAAGCATATTTTTGATATAATATACTGGTCACCTATAATTAGCAAATACTAATGCAGGCTCTGAAGTAAAGTTTCTAGTCTTTCTTAAGTAAACCTTAAGACTCTATTCTTAAATTTAATGATCAATATTTACACATGTTGCTTTTTTACATCAAATATGGACATATCTATACCAGCCATATAAAGCAAGAGCTTTTTTGATGTGACGAGACTGTAAATAATTTTTCAAAATTAAGTTCTAATATAATAACTTGTGTGCAAAATTTCAGGTCATTTGCTTACTCATTTGCTTTCCAAAATAATTATTTTGTGAAAAATGACCTAAAATTGAAAAGCGTTGCAATACTTTTCACTCAAATCGGGTTCAGAATATCACAAAAATATGATTTTTAATTTATTTCTGAGTGTTTTTCCAAAACTATTCTTTATTCTTATGCATTTAGTTCTGTTTAAAGTACCCCAGTTAATCTATGTAAGAAATTTAAATTTTATATTGTTTGGGTTTTTGGACCTCAGTGGAGTTCCTTTAAACTATTAACAGACTTGACTGGGCATTCAGTTAATCTTGATGTAGCCACATGTTTTAGCCATGCAACCAGTCTAGACAATGATCAGATAGCCCTGCATCTGTGCCGTCTGATCATGGTTTACACTATTTGATATTCAATCAGTACATGTTTTGAAATTTTCCCTTACAAAATGTTGTATGGTTTTGTCCAAATCGAAAGAAATTCAGTGGGTTATGGGTTTAGTAAATACTTTACACATCAATGACATACCAACAAATAGACCAGCAAGTATACACAGCATGTTGATAGCAATCAGAATATATGTACGTTCCCTGGTATATTCCCCTAGTGGTACAAAGTTATACGCTACTGTCCATACGAGGAAGAAGTTCTGTATCATGAACACTAATATAGCTAGGAACAATGTTCTAGCTGGTGGACATCTAGACACTCTGTCACACATCTCCGGCCATATTGACAGTGCATATACTCCTAGAATCAGTCCACCTGGAAAATAAGTAAAATTCAGAAATTTTTTCTTACTGAGAATTTATTGCTTTACTACGAAACACTATTGTCTAATTTCAAAACTCAATTAAAACATATATTCTAATTTTAAAACTAATTTTTTAACTACATATGTATGTATCAATGAGAAACTAAAATAAGGCTGTAAATAATGAATAAAAATCAAACATTAAAGAATGATAATCAGTTCAGTAAATAAGTGAAATAAGGAAAAGACTTCACTAAGCATTAGGTTGCTTCCTGTCTAATCCTTTTTTGCATTGATTTTTAACATCATGTATATAAACAGTCGGGCATACTTCCTGATCGTGAAACAAGGGGATTCCCCTTCAAGGCTTCCCGATCAGGCAACAAACGTCAAAATCCTTCCCGATCGGGAAGTTTTTTTGGCCTTTTTTACGTAGTTCAAGAAAAATGGCCGGTGCATAATAGTTTTCAATCCACTTCAATATGAATATCACACTTTTGTTCAGAAAAGATACATCTAAAATCCTACCGAGTCATTTTCTTTAAAAATGTCTACAATTAAAATAATCTGAAAGTGAACTTAAGTAAAGTTTTTACATTTTACCAAAAACTAGCCACTTCCCGTTTTGGGAACGTTGCTCCTGATCAGGAATCTAGCAAAATATTCATCATTAAAAGTTTAAGATACACTGCTTCCCAATCTGGAAGTACCTTATATTTGTAGTAGTACCTGGCCTTGATGATTAGAAATTGCTAAGCCTGGCCAGTTTTAAAGGCAATAATTCAATTACGATGAGTGGAATATATCTGGCGAAGCTTATGTCCTTGTTAGGCGTAATAATATCTATCAACACATAAGCTATACTTGACGGACAGTACAAAAATCATCATTATATTACAAAAGTTTCATATTGTTAAGATTGTATAGCACATGTTGAACAACATTGCACAGAGAGTAATTTTTCAAAAGAATTACCATGCAGCTCAAATAATTAAGTTAAATTAAATGTTGACTAAAGCTCAATAAAATATTATTTTTTGGCTATAGCTCAAGACGTGTTTGCATACTACATGTGTTTGTAGCGACTGTGTCATATTTCTGTTTTCTGAAACTTAAAGTGTATAAAGCTATTTATTATATAATCTATAAATAGCTTTGAAATGCCTTTCTCTGATTGGCTAACAAGCAACTTTTTGTAAAAAATAACAGGTCAATATCAGAGTATATTCACTGTTTTTTTCCTAAAAATAGATTTTCAGAGTATATTCACCGGTTTTTCTTCTAAAAATAGATTTTCTGGAAATCCATAAAAGACGCGAGACTTTGACGTGACATCACGCCAAGTTTGTTGTTATTATTCTATATTTTATACTAAAAACGTTGAGTGGGGTGTACATAAGAGTCAAATTAGTCTATTTTAGTTACCGTTTTACATTTTTAAGAACAATAGGGATTAGCATGCCAATGGAAAGGGCCAAATTATGGAAACAGTAGACAAGCTGAAAAATAATGATTTCCGTTGTATGCAATGGCAGATGTGATAAGCCGTATAAAAGCTATTTATAAATTATATAATAAAACAGATATGTACTTTTTAGCTGTTGAATATGATGTGATATGTACTGAAAAATTAATATTGACCACGGCTATCGCCTCGGTCAATATTAATTTTTTCAGTACATATCACATCATATTCAACAGCTAAAAAGTCCATATTTGTATAATATCTGATGATAAAATTATTGTTTGAATTTTAAAAAAGTATACATGTACTTCCAAAATGATTGTAAAAAATAAATATGGTAATTTATTGCCTTAAACGCGAATGGCGCAAGAACAAAATCATTGCTAAACTGATAAAACCCTACTTAAAATAGCAAAACAATATTGTGTTCTTGCACAGGATTCATGTGTATTAAATAACAGAGACATTATATGTTACATTACTTTTTTCGGGAATCAACCATATAATAATGGAACCAGCATAATTTTGCTGTGGATAAATTTTATTAAAATATTTCTGAAGATATAGAACACACCCTTTAAGCAACTCTAATTTAAAAAAAATGAATAAAATATAAGATAAATAAATAAATAGAACAAGAAATATCATAATGACATATATGCCCCCTATCTATCTGAAATTGAATGAAATCTATAAGTTAAACAAAATGAAGAGTAGCTGGAATAAAATATACATTATCATATAAATGTAAATATGAGCATCTACTTCGAACATTCAAGGTTATTGTGACCTTGTCCTCTGAGACCTAGTGACCTCAAAATCAATAGGGGCCATCTACTAGTTATGAACAATTAAAATGTGAAACATAAAAACTTGATAACTTGAAAATAATGCGTAGAAACCATTCTGACACGTAACGCCTTGTGACCTTTGACCTAAAGACTTCAAAATCGATAGGGTCATCTACTAATTATAACCAATCATTAAGTGAAATATAAAAGATTTAGTAATTAATAGTTTTCAAACTAATGAACGGAAACCATTCTGACATTTAAGGACACTGTAACCTTTAAAATGGTGACACCAAAATCAATAAGGGTCATCTACCACATATGACTAATCAACACATGAAATAGGAAAACTTTGTGATAAATACTTTTCAAGATATAGTGCGGAAACCATTTTGACATTAAAGCAACGTGACCTTTGACCTAGTGACTCCAAAATCAAAAAGGTTCATCTTCTAGTTATGACCCATCAATATGTGAAATATGAAAACTTCTAATAAAAAAAATAATGTTAAATGTTTGTTTGTTTGGGTTTTACGTCACATCGACACAGTATAGGTCATATCGCGACGTTCCAGCTTTACTGGTGGAAGAAGACCTCAGGTGCCCTTCCGTGCATTATTCCATGCGCAAAAGAGCACCTGAGTAGAACCACCGACGTTCCGTAAGCTAGCTGGATAGCTTCCTCACATGAAAGAATCCAAAGTCCCTGTCGGGATTCGAACCCACAGCGGTGAGGGGCAAGTGAAAAGATAATGAGCAGAAACCATTCCGAAATTTAAAACACCTGTAGCTGTGACCTTTAAGCTAGTTACCCCAAAATCAATATAGGTTATCTAATAGTTATGACCAATCAATACATGAAATATGAAGATTTTTTGATAAATAGTTAAGCAGAAACAATGTGGTCTAACGACGGATTAACAAACATACTTAAGGTCAATGTGACCTTGACCATTGACCTAAAGACCCCAAAATCGATAGGGTCATCTACTAGTAACGACAAATCAATATGTGAAATATAATGACTTAGTGATAGATAGTTTTCAAGATAATGAGCTTAAACCATTCTGACATTTAAGGTCCCTGTGAACTTGACTTTTGACATAGTGTTCACAAAATCATAGGAGTCATCTACTACATATGACTAATTAATTTGGAAATATGAAGACTTTGTGAGTGATAATGAGCGGAAACCATTCTGACATTTAGGATCCCTGTGACCTTGACCTTTGACATAGTGACCCTGAAATCAATAGATGTCATCTACTATAGTTATGACCAATTAGTATGTAAAATATGAAGACTCTGTGTTAAATAGTTTTTAAGATAACAACTGAGGTCTAATGATGGACTGACGGACCAACATTAACGTAACATAACATAGCATATATTTTATTCAACATAAAATTGTATACAATTTATAGTCATACAGATATTGTGTGGACATTAGCAAGTCAATATACCCGCTCTTCTTCGAAGTAGGGCATAATAAAAATAACTAGGACCGGGTATGAATAAGAAAGTTGATGTTCGAATATTCGTTTTTCCATATTCGAATATATTCGAATATTCGTTTTTACAAAATTTGAGAAGACACCACCTATGATGCTATCATTTGTATCTGAACTGCTAGACACACCAGACTTCAAAACATTCACGACATGACTCACATGTTGATTTGTTGCACATACAACTTTATTTGTTGGTGTTGTCCCAAGCAATCTCAATCAGCACGAAAGAATTCCAGAATAGAACGCGCTAACTTAAAGAATAAAACTTTCCAAACGGTAACATTTAATGGTGAATATTATGCTAGATGCCTGATCAGGAAACAGTGTTTCCAAAACGGGAAGCAGCTACTTCTTAGTAAAATCGTAAAACTTCACTCAAATTCACTTTCAGATTATTTTAATTGTAGACATTTTTAAAGAAAATGACTCGGTAGGATTTTAGATGTATCTTTTCTGCACTTAAATGTGATATTCATATTAAAGTGGGTTGAAAACTATTCTGCACCGGCCATTTTTCCTGAACTACGTAAAAAAAGGCCAATTAACTTCCCGATCGGGAAGGATTTTGACGTTTGTTGCCTGATCGGGAAGCCTTGAAGGGGAATCCCCTTGTTTCCCGATCAGGAAGTATGCCCAACTGATAAATATGTTCTTATGTGACAAAATATGTTTACACCAAATAAGCAAAAATCATGCATAATTACTTGTACACTTCTTTAATTTAGAAAAACAACAAGAGATTGATCAGAAGATTATTATAAAGGCCATATTATGAGCAAAGATCAGTTATCATTGAAACACGAATGATCAGTGTTTACTTATTGACAGAAAATATCACTAATCTAATATCAAGTTTCTGGAATCAGCTAACTAATATACCGCGACCAACTATACCTGTGGATTTTAGAAATTTCTAAAATCCACACTTACTAATTATGGTTCTATTAAGCCAACAAGATAGACCATTAGGGGAGGACCCCAGATAATGTTGGTTTAACTTTTGGTTCAACCGTTCTGTATGTACATTGTATTTATGCTTAAATTATTGATGTTAGATTGTGTAACACAAACTATACAATAAAATATTATTAAATTACCAATACCTGTAAATCCCAGCCATGTAGGAAGATAATAGAGTGCACAGAATGAGACTAGCCCGATAAACCACCAGATTTTACTTATTGCTACATGTCTACATGCAGACATATACGCTCCAAAACATAACGCAACCAATATACAAGCTCTATAAAAATAAGAAAAATCAAAATTTAACAAAAAAGGACTGATCAGAAGATAACTTGTAACTTATAACTCACATAAAAAAACTTTTTTCAAATAGGACTAATATAACTAAACTACTGCCAAAAAAGCCTAGTATCTGGTCAGACAAAACTGATTCATGTTTTGTGAGAACAAAACAAATTTTCAAATTTGTTGAATTATTTTCATTTATCTTGTAGTTGAGTTCAAACCAAGTCTACAATTTTCATGCAATTTTGTTGTTTTTAATGCTTCCGAGGGATCACTTTTTTCCAGATATTTATTTTCAGTTTTGTTTGATACACCATGCCAGAAATTAGTCAACCTGATACCCAAAACTGAAAAACTAGTTTGAAAATAAGCCTTACTGTTACCTGTCTGATGGTCAGAAAACTATCTGGAAGCCTGTTCTGAGAGTATTGTAAATCTATATAAGTTTACTATTTCATAAATATTATTTATCTTACACAGTGAAATAAACAATAACCTTTAGATAATTAGCCCAACAGATCAGAAAAACCTGATTTATTTTGAAGAAAGCGCACTAGACTTACCCCCATGGATAGGGCTCAGGTCCATTATCAGGGTATGCACGGACAGTCCACCTTGTTATAAGTGACACCTCTCCAAATACCCAATTTATCAAAAATAATAGACTACCAAACCCCAGACCAGTGGCCAGTGAGTTAGGGTATTGTAACTTCTTGTCTACATGGCGTTCACCTTCATCTATCTTATCATAACCTGAAAATATTACATTCCTTTACTCTCTAGTTCAAACGCAATATTTCATTTTATAAAACAATACAGTTATTAATTTCTGAGGCTTAATGTGCCTTTAATTAAATACCAAATTAAAAACATTCTGTATATAATGAAGTCAGGAAAGGAATAGTTACCTGAGAGGAATTGGTCAATTACCGCTATAGCTCCAATGGTAACGACCACAGTGTTGGACATGTCTGACCACCAAGCTGGTACAAATGTTGTAAACCAGACACGACTTACAACAAACCCAATAAAACCAAGCAGTAAGCCCCAGCATGTTGATGCCCTGAAACATCAATAAAACAGTAATAACTATTTATCTGAACAAGAGCTGTCAGTAGGACAGCATGCTTGAGTGCTTTTGATTAAAACAAGAGCCTGGATAATGTAGAAATTTCTAAGTTCAAAAAGGGCAATAATTCTGTCAAAATCCATGTAAGCGTTTTGGGCCTTGAACTGCGGACCAGCTGCCAGTGTCCTGCTTATGCCAAGGGGAGTGGCCCTACAATAGCTGAGGGGAGTGGCCCTACAAAGTAGGCAGAGTAGTCGAGGATGGTGTACTGAGGGTGCGTGAGCCAAAAATTAAAGCATAATGTTTTTTTTTATTTTCCATTTGTTTTGTTAAATGTTTTTGTCAGCTAATTACTGTTTAGATCCATTGGTAATATAGTTAATGTAAACATATCTAATTTAGTTTGAATGTGATGAAAGCTTGAAGCTACTTTAAACTATTCTTGGATATATTTCCTGGAAATAACCGATACAAGTGACATATGAGGTTACATGGTTGTACTCAAATAGGGCTCAATTCCATAATCCTTTGACAGGAAGACATCTTAATCTCTAGGCAACCTCTCCCCTTTATCAACTTTGAAGGTTAACAAGTGTATTTCAGTCTAAAAATGAACTGTCAATGTCCAGCAAGCTAGCTGGATGGCTTCTTTACATGAAAGAATGGAAGTTCAGACTTGAAAAATTCAAAAGAGATGAGGAAAGTACATCAAAATTTATTTGGATCTGACACAGTAACAATTGATCATCTCTTAGTCTATGAATGAACTGAGATTATAAATTAAACAGACTGATCCATTGTAAAGATATGAAATCTTCTTATATGAAGTGTTGTTTTATTATAATTCACCATCCTATTCATAATTTTACAAAATTTGTTTCAATAGGAATACACTTTATTGTACATTAACATGTCAAAAATAAAAGATGCTGGTACAGGTCAACATATTCTCACCTGATTCTCTTACTTGGACTCCACAGTGTGGCTGTAAGTGTTAGAGTTGCTACACCATTACCAGCTGCCAGAGTAACAAGTCTTGATAGGGTGGTAGGTGCTTGAAATGACAACAGTGCACAAACACAAAGACCACGTAAACATCCCAGCACATACCACTTGTGTATAAAAATCCTTACCAAAGGTATTCCTGGCAGAAAAAAACAACAATACAATTTTTAAAAAAAAAAGATAAAGCAATATTTGTACATAATCATTGCAAAGTATTTTCTAATTTCATAATCATGCAATGCATGTTGCATGCTCACTTTTGTCTTTAGTTGGACATTTAAAATTATAACAACTTTCAGATTAGAAATTTGATGTTATTTTGTAAGTATGAAATACATTCCTTCCTGCTACATACAACTTTTAAACTATTGATCCAATGAGATGTTGGACAGCAAGAAAACTTAACAATATCTAAACCACTCTCAGATAAGCAAAACTGGTGTTATATCCTGCCGCAAATTACATGTATATTCTTATTAAATTGTCAATGTAATTCCTAAGACTTATTTGTCATTCTTAAGACTTTTTGTCATTCTCAAGACTTATTTGTCATTCCTAAGACTTAAGACTAACTTGTCATTCTTGAGACTCATTTGTCATTCCTAAGACTCATTAGTGATTCTAATTTTAAGACTTATTTGTCATTTTCAAGACTTACTGTCAGTCCTAATGCTTACTTGTCACTCCTAGGACTTATTTGTCATTCCTTAGACTTATTTGTCATTCATAAGACTTAACACTTACTTGTCATTCCTAGGACATATTTGTCATTCTTAAGACTTATATATATGTCATTTCTTAGACTTCTTTGTAATTCTTAAGACTTATTTGTCATTCTTAAGATATATTTTGTCATTCTTATGACTTATTTGTCATTTTTAAGACTCATTTCTCATTCTCAAGTCTTACATGTCATTCCTAAGAATTAATAGTCATTCTTAAGACTTGTCATTCTTAAGACTCATTTGTCATTCCTAAGATTTATCTGTCATTCTTAAGACTCATTTGTCATTCCTAAGACTCATTTGTTATTCTAATTTTAAGACTTATTTGTCATTCTCAAGACTTACTGTCATTCCTAATGCTTATTTGTCATTCTTAACTTATTTGTCATTCCTAAGACTTATTTGTCATTCATAAGACTTAACACTTACTTGTCATTCCTAGGACTTATTTGTCATTCTTAAGACTTATTAGTTATATGTCATTTCTTAGACTTATTTGTCATTTTTAAGACTCATTTCTCATTCTCAAGTCTTACATGTCATTCCTAAGAATTAATTGTCATTCTTAAGACTCATTTGTCATTCCTAAGACTTATCTGTCATTCTTAAGACTTACTTGTCATTCCTAGGACTTATTTGTCATTCCAAAGACTCATTTGTTATTCTTAACTTAAGACGTATTTGTCATTCTTAAAACTTATCTGTCATTCCTAATGCTTATTTGTCATTCTTAACATATTTGTCATTCTTATGACTTATTTGTCATTCCTAAGACTCATTTGTCATCGTTTAGACTTATTTGTCTTTCCTGAGACTTATTTGTCATTCATAAGACTTAACACTTAATACAATTCCTAGGACTTATTTGTCATTCCTAAGACTTATAATATATGTCATTTCTAAGACTTATTTGTCATTCTTAAGACTAATTTTTCATTCCCAATGCTTATTTGTCATTCTTAACATATTTGTCATTCCTAAGACTTATTTGTCATTCTTATGACTTATTTGCCATCCTTAAGACCTATTTGTCATTCCTAAAACTTATTTGAAATTCCTTAGACTTATTACGTAGTTGTCATTCCTAGGACTTAGTTGTCATTCCTAAGACTGATTTGTCATTTTTAAGGGGTATGACTAAATACCGAATATGAGCTCATATTCGCGAATATGAATTCATGTACGCGAATATGAACGGGAGTACCGAATATGAATATTGCTTTCATAATATTTAAGGCTAAAAGTAATAAATTGACAGTATTTTCAACATAAACCATGATAAATATTTAGCATGTTAAAAAAAGTATTTTGATAAGTTTCTTTTGTAAATTACAGCGACAAGAATTATTTTTGGTGAAAACATTTTTTAAGAATAGAATTTCCGTTTGTAGAAATTTGAATGCGCGATTTCTATCAATAAAATTGACCATATGAGAAATAAATTACAATTTTACTGTTAAAAAATGACATAATATATTTGAAATATAAATTGAAAAACAAGATATAGACTAACTGTAAAAATTACTGCCGAATATGGAAGTGAATACCGAATATGAACATTACGTTTATAAAGGTTAGGTCAAGTAAAGCGACCACCACTATATATATATGATACATAATTTACGTTATTTACTTTGTATAGTTTTTTCGGTTTTATAGTATGTTTGTTATATGTTAATATAATTTTAGGAAAGAAATACATATTATAAAGATGCAAGTGTTTTTCATTTTGTCAGAAAAAGTACGTATTATATATGATTGAAAATATGACTTGATTTAATTGTTTCCTTTATCACATACAAATGTCTTGACTTTTCTCGAGTCGTACATCATATAAGACGAAATATCGCTTGCGCTTTGGGGATATATGTTCCTATAATAACATATGCTGGTTGAATATTCCTTATTCCGTATTGACGTCACGTCATTTGCGCTTTATAGAAACATAGCGTTAAAGCGCGCTAATGTTAGCGTTGCACTATAGGCGCGTCATTGAAAAAATACCCATTTTAACAGTTTACTGTTCTTATTTTATATATGTGATAAATAGAATATTATATTCGTATAGATTTAATACTAAATTTATTGAACTCGTTGAATAAAACAATATTATGCTCGCCAGAGGCTCGCATAATATGATTTTATTCAACTCGTTCAATAAATTTAGTATTAAACTACACTCATTCAATATCCTCTATATATTAGGCCATGTGTAATAATAATTATCTAAAAGAGTTAAACGTAATTCTCTATAAAAAGGACATATTAACAAAAAATGATACTCGGATTCAACTTGCTTCATATTACATCTTCTACATAATCTTTCGCTTCTTAAAATATTCTTATATCGACCTTCTTCAATCTCTAAGTTGTGTGAGGAACATCTAAATCTCGCGTGCCTCGACATTAACAGAATTTAAATAACTAGCTTGAATAAAGTTTAACGTAAATTCTTTATAATAATCTAATTTAGAACCATTGTTGCCGTAACATAAAATTGGTAATACCATTGAATTAAAGAGTTTTAATTTATCTTCAATCTTTATAGAAAGAGTGGATTGTTGCCTCGAAATTTAGAATTTTTGTCTTATCGAAATTGTTTCAAAATTTAAATACTTAGGAACATTGTTTACCACAGGTGGTTCATTTAGAGAACACGATGTAATGTTATCAGGACAAGCTTTAAAAGCAATATACAAAATGAATAAATATGTATATAAATTCACAGATCTTTCTGTAAAACACCATTTAGAACTTTTTGATAAGTTTATTTTACCAATTTTGTGTTATTCCTCAGAAGAACCTAATACATACACGAAGTATTTCTTATTATTATATATTTGAATGTAGAATCTCTCAAAAGTAAATAACTTGTAAATTAAATATATAATCAATGGTAACCATTATAATAATGAAAGAAAAGAAATACTTGCAGTCACGTCATCTTGCTACGTAATTATTTATTTACTTATGCATACATGTTATTGTATATATTATGAATGCTTGTACATGACTCTTTTGAGAGTTAATTTGCAAAATAAAGATTCTTCTTTTTTAAATTGACATTATCAAAAATGGAGTTCAAAGAATAAAGAGCCTTTAAAGCTTGGTTTTGAGCTTGATAAAAACTTCCATAAGTTGATAGCGTTACTCCTAAATAAGTAAATTTTTTAACTTGTTTTAAAATTTTATTGTCATACTTAAGCGATATATTTAAAGATCTATGACAAATATTTTTGTTTAAAATAAGTGTATGAGCTTAAAACAGGCTTTGATATTTTGTTAAATATAAGAAAATATTAAAATACTAATACATGAAAATTACTTATTATGCGTGTACACGTGCGTCTCTGTGTGACATAAAGTCTCCCTTTTTACAAACATTATATTTCTGAGAAACATATTGAAGTAACATGAAGAGAATGGAATACTTTTTACATTTAACTAGTTTGAAAATATCAAAGTGATTAACTTTGAATCAATTTTTTTATGATTCAAGTCTCTTACATTTGAGTAAAAACATATTTTATTATGATAATTAGAATACCAAAAGTTTCTGTTATAAAATTAGAGGGTGTTAAATAAAACCCCATTAAACATTAGTGATATAAAAGTCATATCACAACGCCTTAATTTGAGCGACAGAATTTTCGTTTTGATGACAATTATATAAATGAGTTATTTATAAAAGCAACTATGTTAAATAATGATTTTCATAATTTGATTTAGGAAGAGAAATTATTTTTTTCTTTAAGAATGATGATGTAATCAGATGTTGTGCAAGAGCCTGCTTTCTGATATTACAGATGTAAAATAGTTTTTATCCTGTAAATTTATTTTTGTTTTATTTTAGGTTAATATGTTTTACTCGATTACAAGATACAAATTTTAAGTATGTTCGATTTAAATAAAACATATTATCATTATTTTACAACCACTTTGTAGTGTTGAGTATATTGCCAAATTATTCCCCATCTTCTTCTTTTACTTCTTTTATAGCATTTTAAAGATAAATCAGATTTCTACTTGTATCTATCTGTTTTTTTATTATTTATTTACTTTTTATATGTTTGTTTCTTTTTTCCTCAATGACGTACAGACAGTCATGGCTCAATAGTTTTGTTTGTGTTTTTATCATTAATTAAATAGCAATACGACGCAAATCATGATTTTCGTTATTCAATAAAACCGCGCGGCTGTATTACACATTCATCAAGAAAATGAAATTTTCGTGCAAATCTCTATACCTGTTTTCTTTTGCTTTTACAGTTTGATAAAACTATTTACTGCAATACCCATATAACAAAAATACCTTCAAAGATTATTTGCATTACATAATATTACTGTCATTTTCTTCATACCCATTTTATTTTATTTTGTCTACTGACTTTGTTCACATGTTATTACATTATAC